TTTCCCCTCTTCTGTCTATGAGACAATGGCTACCGCCAGTCGTCTCACTTGCAGTGTGCTGCAATGAGCCGCCACTTTTTGAGTTTTCCGAATAGAGTGCTGAGCTGTAAATTGGACTGAAATATGAGCTTCTGCATGTAACTATTTCAAATTTTCAACCAGGGTGTATCTTATACTGCACGCTCCAAGATTTCTCTAAATCTCTATGGCAAGCACTGGCGCAGACAACCTAGACAGGGCGAGAGTAAGAACCACCCAGTCGCTCGATTTGACCCGAGTCCGTCGTGAAATTAGTCCTCGCTTCTATTTTAAATAGTAGAAATCATTTTGCAGCAAGCTCGGGTCGGATAGAGCAGTCGGTCGACCCCAAGAGCTCTCTGCGACCTGGCCGTAGGGTAATCATGTTCGTATTTTTCACAGAAACAGAGCTACGCTTCGAAAATAACGCAATAGAGCACACAACTAAAATACACTTTTGGTGATAATTTTAGCTAGCTACATGTTCCAAATTAATTTACAGGCTACGACTCTCATGCCATCCTATACATGTTCGGGAGGTCTTTGGGTCGTCGCGTCACCAGTGCGAGTTTTCCACCTTTGATAACACAATAACACCCCATGACTTCACCCTCTTGTTATCTTTAGCATGCGTTCCAAAAGCTGGACATTCGAATGACCTTAACCTAAAAGCTATGATGAGGGTGCATGCTAGCTCGTGAATATTGGAAGCAAGGAAATGCCATACGCACAAATGAATTCAATTTTATCATAAACCTTTTGGACAGATATTTTTTTAATTTTCTGCAATCTTTCCAGGGTACATTTTGAACATTTGTTTCAAACACGCCCGTCACAAGCATTAGAGCGGTCTTTCTGTTTGTAAAAAAATAAAAATGTTTGAACAAGAGAATCAACATTGAACTATTATAAGTTTGGTATCTTCGTGTATCCTTGACCAGCCTCTGTGTGATGTGGTGATGCGTCACATTTCGTCACATTAGGCCAACATCGCTGCATAACATTGCCCGTATGTCAGGATGGAAATGTTACTAAGAGGTTATTTCTAAACGTTGCTCCAATGTTGCTTCTCTAACATTCCTGGAACGTTTGCCTATGTGATGTAACGTTACATGACGTTCAGTGACATTCAAACAATGTTACAGGAGAACGTTTCTGTTACGTTAGTTTTCAAACATTGCTATAACATACCCAAATGTGCCCCAACGTTACATTACATTTGTGACATTCCAGTTACGTTATGGCAACATATGGTGCTACTAGGGGCACTTACCCACTCACCTTCCGAAAAGCGCGAAACACGGAGTCCGCACCGCCCTGACTTGCAAGTCTTACCTGCTTTAGAGCATGCAGTTTGTACCTGCTAGTAGGTATGTCTACTGAAACTGCAACTTGAAACTAGGGGCAATGCCAGAGAGAAAAGAGACAAAGTTAGGAAAGCATGCTCGCTCTCTCCAATTTCTGAACTCTCAAGTGATTGTACCATGATAAATTCCCCAACACCTCTTTCCAAAATAAAGAAAAAACGCTATGTTCACTACGTAAAAAATGGTCTCATTTAATGCATCTGTGGGCAGGTAGGAAGCGTTGCCCTAATTTATTCACACCGCATGACGAGCGGAACAAACTCACACGAGATTTACAAGAAAATATCGGTGGTGACTTAAGTTTCCCTGAAATTCTGTATGACCGGTCGTTTGCAGGACCGAATCATCTACTCGGGCGGTGTGCGTCGCTGTGCAAACGCCAACACGAAGCATAAAAACGGCAGGTCTAGGACAACAATCCGGACATCTTCACTTTTGGTACAACAATCCGGAGTCCATTGTTCAATTAAAACGACGTAATTTTGTTGAAAACGCCCGCAGCTTTTTACTCACGGTATGCGTCGAGAATCTTCCATATTTTGAAACGGAACGAAGGAAGATTTACTTTTAAAAGCGCTCGCTGCGTCCTCCCGGGCCAGCTGGACCGGATCAGCTGACGACGACGAGACTGAACCCGTTGAATTTCAACCCCACAATAACCAATTTGCGCTTCGTGTTAGTATGGGCTTCTACCTCCAAGCACCGCACCACACACCACGAACGTTCCAACTCTTTGTCGCATCGCCGTGTTGCACCAAACCTATCTCTATGCACCAAACAGAACGAGATCGCCGAAGTCAACGGAGCGCTGTCGTGAACCTTGGCTTGTGGTTGCGCACTCGTGGACCCTGCGACTCCCTTCGCTTTCAAAGCACTCCCGACGATTACGAATGATACTTTCCGTCTTCCGGGACCACCACAGGGGCACTTCTCCGGTCATGTCTTCGCTACATGTGCTCGTAAACCGCGTCGAACGGGGTCAAACCGAAGCTGTCGAAGTAATCCCGGCGCCATGTTGAACGTGCGTTGTTGCTAGATTTTCTCCCACCAAACAAAAACAACGAAAGCAAACCGGCTCTAGCTTCCAGCGTACATCCGCGTTGCGCCGTGGCCAGATTTTCTCCGTCAGCTCTAACTTAAAGATGGCCTACAGATGCAGCAACACTGGTATCAAGTTTTAACATGGCGGCCCCCACGGAGCGCCGTAAATTCTGAGGAGGGTGCATTGGAAGCGGCGGCACCTTCCCCCCCCTGCTTGCGGGCTTGCGGGTTACACCACGTGACAATATAGAGTGAGCTGGAGTCAATAGAGTGAACAGTGGGGTCACCCGCATGCATCCCGCACGACATATAAAACCAAAATAAGTTTTTAAAGTGCAATTTATGCACATTTTTTGCTAAATTAAGGTCAATAAGTAAAGTTTTGAAGTATTCGTTTACTTCAGCAAACAAAAACAAGAGTTAAAATACGAAGTATTATAGTCACGTGATACATCCCCTGCGTCAGGAAGTGGTCCGACGTGATAAACCGAACGGTCCGGCCGGAGAGGACAAGGAAGCGTGGAAGAAGAACCGAAGCTGCCGAAGCAACGTTCGCGGGAAGTGTAAACGCTTGAAGCACGTTGCAGAGTCGAGACCAGTTGAGCGGCCGGAATTTTACGAACGATTATGCAAGCGTACGTCTTGAGGACGACCATGAGCCACATATCATCTCAAATTTCTGCCCGTCAAGCCTTGTGACGAAACGGAATCGGACTTCTTCAAGGCGCGGATCCTAAAGTTGTTTGGTAAGTTCAAGTCTCCACACGCGTTGTGCCCAGTCTAGTGACCATCTCCTTTAAGTTAAAAATTGCAGCTTTAAGCACAATATGTGGGAGTAACTCTCGGCGCCGGTTGTTTCAGGATCGCAGAGTGACGCGGAAACCCAGTGACAGTAAACGGGTGCTAGTACCTCCGACGAGATGAGTGACTGCCCGGGAGGGCTGGAGGAAGCTTGTATGAGACAGGTAATTGTAATTTCATTTTCGCGCTTGCGAAGCAATTCATAAGATGTATTTTAAATTTGAGATTTTCTTTAGTTATGCCGCCACAAGTACAAGGAATTTCATTGATAGGGGTGCCGTCTGTTTGTTTTCATATGCCCAGAAACTAGATAAAGGTTATGTGTTTTAACATTTTTTCTGTGCTGATAGGCTTAACGTTAGAATGAATTATATCTGTCAAGGCGTGGCGCAGTTTGTGTCTATTTGGAGAAGAGGTTTGTGTGTGTGTGTGCCTGCGTGCGTGCGTGCGTGCGTGCGTGTTCGTTTGTTTGTTAGTTCGTTGGGGGAGAGAGAGGAGATGAAGAAGAGGAGGAGGGTGAGGGATCACGTCGAATCATTCAAATCGTTAACTCTGACAGTAATGAGGTAAGAAGGATACCTGCTAGTTACACCGGTTCGGTTTTGTGCCATACTCAAATTGCGTTTTGCCGCGTAAATATTGCTACAATTTTTTTTTTTCATCAACAAAATTAATTTTGAGGCATGCCGTTGACAAATAGGACCCCTGTTTTCAATCCCAGTCCAGGTTATTCGTGACTCTAGCGAACTATAGATGGCGCGCTGCTCAGGCAAAATTCGGACGAAAGAAGGTCGTTTTCGTTGTTCAGCATGCGGACCATCACAAATTCCTGCACTGCAGCGTAAAATCGGTGTTACATTTGAATGCAAAGCGATTTTTCGACCCTAGAAACGTTTGTCTACTCAGTGCATAGGAAGGACCCGGTGGAATCATTAAAATAATTACTGGAAACAATGTTTGTTTCTATGCTGCCTACGAGAACCAAGCAGCGATAGCAGACGACAGAGTCGGGACAACCTCCTCTCCTGAGCTTCTCGGCGCTGCCGCTACGCGGCGTCGATTTCGTCGTATTGTATTAATTCTGGTTCACTGCACAGTTAAAAGGTTTGTCTTCATTTGCTGCCAGAGAAATATAGCTTGCGATGAACTAAATCAAAGTTATGACTGCTGGTGTCATGTACATATTCAGAACTTTTTTTTTATTAAAATCATTGTAATTAAGTGTTTTTATGGGTTTTAGCACTGTGATTAAGATACGTCAATGTGTTTTCTAAAAAAGACTACTAATTTGCAGTTTGTATCTTCTCCTAAAATATTTTGTAGATCTGAGCATGTATTCATACCTGAATATGTGCCAGGCATTCCCCAGTATGTGTATAATTGTTTACTAGGCCTGTAAGCTTCCCCACTACATCATTGCCGCTATGTTAGCGCTTTCCAGCTATTATTGGAGAGAGATAAGTGTTTCTCATGATCAATTAGGTTGAGATTGTTTAGCGTTAATGTTTTTGAGTCCCCCATTTTTAATTCCTGACAGAGCGCTTCAATGTCCGTTTATTTTTGGTTTGCCGCTATTTATCACCACAAGCAAAAACATCACGCCTCTGGGATTAACCTGAAGCTCACCTCATGATTAACGACGCTGCCGTCCACTGTCTTAAGGTGGGCCTACGTTCATGGGTATTTGTCTAGTGGTTCTGGAGTTGATGTTGCTGAGATAACCGAGACGCCGATTTCTACGATGGCCTCTGTCAGCATCATGGTCAATTACAGCTGGCCCGAGCCTGAACCAGGCCAATCAACGTGCTGGCCCGAACCAAGCCAATCAACGTGCTGAGCCCAGCCCGGGTCCACAGTCAAAAGTCCGTGCCCATCCCAGGCCTGGGCTTTCGGGTAAGCCCAAGCCCGTGCCCAGTGGTATAATCTTTAATCCAATCGCCATATTGAGATAAAGACGTCAAAAGTTCTCAGTTTAAATGTCGGAAGTGCCTCAATAAGAGCAGGTATAAATATTAGTAGCAAATTTAATGATAAAAAAACTGCGCCGACTTTACTCAACAAGATTAACAATTTAATCAAGCGTTTCGTCTCCCATGCGGGGAACATCATCAGTGAAACCTTCAAGCAGGAATGAGCGAAAAAACTTCAACAATCTTATTTAAGCAATTCCGCATAAACATCGGGGGAGGGGGCCGCGGTTGGAGTTGCAAGCTGATGAGTCACTTCAGATGAACCATGATTCCACCAACCTTCGTGGACCCCACCTTTGTTCACACGCCAGAGTGGACGCATTCTCAAAGTCGAAACTGTGACCCGTATTCCAACAATGGTCTACGAGTTCTGTCTTCGCTGTGTTTGTTTGGGCGAGTGCAGCGCTTCCAGCCTGTCTCCCCAATGTAGGATGTGTCACAGTCTAGACAGTTCACTTTATACACAACACTGCACTGGGACTCTGAGGGGGTGTAATCTTTAGGTTTAGAAATGAAGTCACATAGTTTATGGTGGGGTTTGAAAGCTGTGCGGATGTTCAAAGGGGCGAGGGCCCTGCGAATGGACTCAAAAGCACCTCTCAAATAGGGTATTGTTGCTTGCCCTGTCCTAAGTTGTCCATTATCCTGACTTCTTTGTCTCATCTGTTTGTGCGTGTTATCAATAAAACGTTTCGGATAATTCCGCTTCATCAGCAGGTCAACAATAACAGCATCCTCAGAAGCGCGCAAGCCGCCTCGGTGGCTCCAAGGCGAGAGCGCTGGCCTACGGATCCCCATGTGGCGGAGGCTTATTGCAGAGCAGGCGCCGTATAACCGAGCTTTCGGTTGCACGTCAAAAGATCCCCAGGTAGTCTAAATTAATCCTCAGTCCTCCGCTGGGGCGTGTCAGATGCCCGTCGTTGGTTTAGCACGTAAATCCCCCAAATTTGACTTATTTCTCAGAAGTGCGCAATTGAGGATTAGAAGAAATGCGTTCGGACCGGTGTAGTAGGTTTTTTACGACAGCCCTTTTATGTTCGACAGAATGATGCGAGTTAAAGCTTAAGAGGTTGCCTGTATCACAGCTTTGCAGTACACTGTTGTATATAAGTGACCGGTACTATTTCGGAACACATTAACATACAGAAAAGGCTTTGCACCGTTCTGTTCAACTTCATGTGTGAATTGGATTGATGATTCAATGCTGTTTAAAGCTAAATGAAAGTCACAAAAGGGACATGGCAAAGGCCACGCATGCGACAAGAGCGAAGACTGAACTCGTAGACCATTGTTAGAATACGGGACACAGTTTCGACTTCGAGAATGCGTCCACTCTGGCGCGTGAACAAAGGTGGGGTCCAAGCAGGTTCGTAGAATCATGGTTCATCTGAAATGACTCATCAGCTTGTAACTCCAGCTGCGGCCCCCTCCTCAATGTGTATGCGGACTTGCTTAAATAGGACTGTTGAAGTTTCTTTCGCTCATTCCTGCTTCAAGGTTTCACCGACGATGTTTCCCACATGGGAGACGAAACGTTTGATTAAATTGTTAATCTTGTTGAGTAAAGTCAGTGCAGTTTTTTTTATCATTATGATTCCCGGCTTTTGGAATATTTTTGCAGCACATTTAATGAAGAAATGGATGCCGATAAACACCTGCCAAGGTTGACTAAAAATAAACAGAAACATCCAATCAATAGTTATGATTGCACTAAGCGGTTGCTATGTGGATGTTTTTTATGTTCGACAGCTCAGCAAAGTCTGCGGTTCTGGTTATGCTTTCTGTACGAGACAGATCAAGAAGCGGTTGCTGACTGACCAGTTGGGGCGAAAATTTTTGTGGGAAGTACGTAAGAGAAAGTTGACATTCAGGAACCTTCACCTTGCTGAGTGCATCATAAGTAAGTAATCTCTGGAACAGTAGTGCAGATCGCTTCACATGGAACCAGATTTATGGAATTGTTGGTGTCATACTTCTGTTGCTTTCTTTTATCAGATGCAGTGCAGAGCTGCCATAAATGTGAAGACTTCAAGGTAGAAACCATGGTCACGGATTAACTTCGCCACGTACCTGCCTGACATCAGTCATCTCAAATGGTAAGCTGGTCTTATTAAGCTGATGTTAGCACAAAAATCAAACTTTTCTAGAACAGTAAGTATGGTGTGCAATTTCTTCAAAGCATAATTTCTATATAAGAGTATTTGAATGCTTTAAATATTAAAGCCAGTGACACCTTTTTTGGTTTAATTTGAGAGCAAATACTACAGGTGTGAACAGTATTGAATAATTTTAAATAAAAAAAATTTTGTTTGGAGTGTTTCTCTAAGAGGCAAAATTTCATTATATAATAGTACCTTATTATGGATTAAAAAGAATGCATAGACAACGAATTTTAAGAACACTGATATTTGATGTAAATCTAACAAACAAAAGTTGGCAATACAGTACACACATCCAGCATGAGTGTGCTTTAAAAACAAGGCATAAAATACTTGTGATTTATTTACATCAGTTCCAATTCTTGCATATTTGAGTCACTTCACTTTGAACTTCACTGTTTTATTAGTTTTGTTTCAAAGAATGGTAAACCGCTGCTCACATATCTTTAACGTAACATTTTTTCCTTGCTTTTCAGGAACATTCTGCACCACAGGAGAGAGAGATATGTGAACTGCCTTAAGTGGGCCTTGAATGCGCTGAGCTTTTTATTATGTTTATCAGACATTTTTTTTAAGCAAAGTATCCTGCATTGTTTCAGTAAGTATACTTTATTTGGAAAACCTCATGCTGTCTATGCAGTATTGTTCAAAAATTATACTTTATTTTAAAAGCATCAAGCACTGCTCGTCTGTCTAACAGTAACAATAAAGAGTTAATGGCGATTTGTTTGGCACTGCAACTTTTTCTACAGAACGGGTGTGCATGCCTGACAGGCTGGGCAGGAATTTAGTGCGCTACTCACGTTCAAAGTTACGCTGCAAGACTGCAGCGGCATCTTTTGCCATGCAGTCGGTGCTACAACTCTCATGGAATTCTGGTGTCCTCGTCACTAGAGCATATGACTACTGAAGCCTTAGACTTCAGTAGTCAATTCCTCAGGGCCGTTCGTCATAGCTTATGACAATGTTTGTGTCCAGCATTTCAGTTCTCTCGCATGTGGCAAGGTCCACCTCACTAAAACGAGTCAGCATTAGTAGTGTCGCCTTCCTTGTCAGTGTCGTCTGCATTGATCCTGTGGTAAAGCTTCTGAGCTTGATGGTGAAAAAAAAACTTCAATATAAAGAATGTCTGCTGCGGGCCTGATTGCTACATTGTACATCTGTAATGCGCCATTTGGGTATACATTGTGGGGACCCTCTCCCTGGCTCCCCCGCGCTCCGTGACCTTCCCGGTCCCCGCCGCCGTACCGTCGGGCGCTCCTTCGTTCCCCGTGACCTTCCCGTTTTCCGTCGCCGTCCTGTCGCGGAACGTCCGAGCTCTCCGGGAGGAACGGGGCAAGCGCCCCCTCACCCAGCGCTGACGTCGGAGGGTCGGCTCGCGGCAAGGTTCCCGATTGGACGGTCAGCGGGACAAGGACTTGGGAAGGTCTTAAGAGGGGAACGGAGACAAAGGAAGAGGGCTTGGGCTGCCGACTTCACAAGGGATCGGTTATGGAGGCGAGCTCGGACGGCGCTGGACGCTGGCGCAGGGAGTGCGGGCACCACGTCGAGTAGCGGACTCGACAAGCGGACCGGACAGCGACCCTGGACGACGACGTCCCCATAAAGCGGTGTGGACGACCACCGCTGGGACTCGGAGAAGCTGCTGTGGCAGCGGGCTCTCCCCCGGCCTCGCTGATGACCGTCCCCCGATCCCGAAACCCCCCAAGGCAATGAGTGAGTGAATAAACCCTTTTGCCGAGAGCGAAGTATTGAAGTGTCATATTCATCCGGAGACAGGGTTTGTGGGAATCGGAGCTGGAAGATGCCCGCAACATTGAGAGCATGCACGGGCCGTACAGCAAATCTGCCCTCTGAGCTCTTGTTTTGTAAAGAATTGGACTCTTATCCGTTTAAATTTTTCTGTAGGACAGTTTACACGCTGTATGCTAGCATAAAATGAAGGCTGCTTAGGCACTTCCTTGCCCTCCTGGCATAGGGCTGGTCCCTATACCAGGAAAGGTAATATTTCTGAGGTATGTACATGGTACATCCACAGGATCAGGCTGAACATCCTACAATGGTCCTGAATGTCCAGCTGCATCAACCAGATTGCGTTACTGGTACGTTTTCTGGGGAACCATTTTGCACTGCACAGTAGATACTTTTAATGTTGGATGAATCGTAGCAGATATCCACTGGATATGTTCAATGTCCGAACAACACATCTCTCGGATGTTTAATAGACGGTTGCTGGTTGACTGGGTACCATCAAACCAATGTGCACCGGGGCACCTGTTGTCAATTACCGCTAATTGGTTTTCGCCCCCTAAACGCCATCAACCCAATGTGCACACGGGTGCCTGTCGTCCATTGCCGCTTATTGGTTTTCGCCCCATAAATACCATCAATCCAATGTGCACAGGGGGGCCTGTTGCCAATAGCCGCTCATTAGTTTTTGCCCCATAAATACCATCAACCCAATGTGCACAGGAGCACCTGTTGCCAATTGCTGCTCATTGGTTTTTGCCCCATAAATACCCTCAATGCAATGTGCACTGGGGTACCTTTTGCCAATTGCTGCTCATTGGTTTTTGTTTCATAAATGCAATCAGCCCAATGTGAATTCCCTAAAGGATTACCAATTCAGCCCAATGTGAATTCCCTAAAGGATTACCAATTGGGGCTCATAGGTTTTTGTTTCATAAATGCATATTGCTCAATGTGTCTGGACCTACAGTTGCACATTGGTTCAATGTGAATTTTGGCCTCATTTCACATCGCCCATTTCCAGCAGGGGAGGGCCTCCTCATGGGTGGCATCTTGTTTCCCATTGACTGCATAAGCATTCTGGCTCTAACAGTATATTGTTCCAAGCATAGAGGAAGAAAAGGTAAAGAATTAACTGTGGTTGCTGGTATCTGGACGATTGAACTTGCACCGCCGTGTTACCGTTAATTGTGAAATTTCTGGTTCCCTGTATATGAAATATACATCGACATCTGAAGTCGAGATACGAGTCCCGGCACATAAACAATTGCACCGAGATTTTCTGACCCAGAATTTGTATTCGATGTATGACAATTTTGTCGGGTATGACCAAGGTAGTGCTGCAAACCTTTTTTCCATGCTATACTGAAATCATGAAAGACGCAAAATGGTGCCTAGGGAGCATGTTTTATTGTGCATGGAAATTCTGCACCCCCTTGAGGGGCAGCACGAGTGTGGTCAGTGAAGATGACTGCTGGCTATCTGCAGCTGCTTGTCCCTCCACAGCCTGCAAACAAAGTACACGAAAAGGGTGAATGTTTATAAAAACAAGCATTTTTAAAGACTATGTTACAGAAATTGCATAGAACAAGAGAATCCCAGGGGTGTGGTGAGCAGTAGTGTATGGCATACCACTGCTTTTATCTTCTTTTAGAACTCTTATGTAGTGCTCGAAATATCAAGAATGCAAGACTCCTGAAAGACATTTTGTTTATGGGGGCACCTTCCTAACCAAGGAACTGCTCGGACCAGCAAGCTCATGCTGTGGGTCTTCCAGTACAACACGCAACCTATGAAGCAAGCAGCCTTGAGCAATGTGCACCTAGCATGATCCAATCACTTTGCAGCAGACAGGCCTGCTCTGTCCATCACATGAAAAATGGAAAGTGAAAAGTTGGAAATCACTCACTTCAAAACACAACACAAGGTCCGAAAATGAAAAGGAGCGAAAACAGAAGAGTCCTGCATTCACTTTCCTTTATGCTATAACTGTCTGTCATAACTGATTCCCAATGACAAGCTAACTGTTGTTCCCGTCAATGTTTTTGGTGCTGTGGAAGTCCAGCTCTTCCGCATTGCATTGAGCAAACAACAAAGACTGTGAGCGCAAGCTGCTCTGGGTGTAACTCAATAAAGCAAGGACGAAGAAACTTGGCCTGGAATAATTCATTAGTGCCATATGACACAGGTTTTCTTTCGACGGTTCTCCAAACAATGCTTGCCAGCCAATTTTAGACCTTGACTTGATTTTAAACCTTAAGCAAGCGCGCCCGTGGCCATTCGGCCACGGGCGCGCTTGCTCGGAGACGTGCGGGGAAATATGTGCTAGTGCAGGCACTTGGGCTAAGCCTAGGCAGAAGTTTAAACCGTCAAGTGATGATGACAAAGTTTGTCCAGTTCAGTACGCAGAAAATATTGCTCTGTGTGGTGGCGAGAACCATCTGCTACTTACTCTCAACTGCGACAGATTGTGATATCTAGCCAAAGGTGGAGGATGTGAATACCTGAGTGCAAAAAATGAAGAGAAGTATACAAAACTGCACGCCGATGATTTTGCCGAGTTCGACAGGCAATGCCCAGCCAGGTGCGTCCTGCTTCCACAGCCCTTTGCAGCAAATATTTTTAAAAGTGGACCTTTTATATAAATAGCAGACACCGGTTTTGAAATTGGTGAGCCAGTTTTGCCTTAGTGTCATTCCCTTATCAATTTCAGGGCAGTGGGTAGATGTGGTGCTGCCGGGAATGTTCGGTGGAAGCAGGTTGCTGTTGGGAAACAGGACCGGAGGCACCGTCTTTTTACTGACACAGTCTCATTAATTGGATCTGTGTCTTGTCCGACACAAAACTCAAGTAACCATGTGTGGATTGTCTCTGCACCATGGTCTTGCTGAGGTGTCACCTTGCTAGAAACATCAACACGGTTGGACCTACAGTCACCTTGGGAGCTACCGACCAGGCACAATAGGTTAATGACAGCATCTTCTACATAGTTATGCACAGTGCAGGTCATGTTCACATTTTTGTGCAATTGCTGAGATAGGTACAAAAGCTGTCACTTTGGGCCACTGGAGCCAGCGCAGTTCACCATGATCACAGTGTAGCAAAGCTGCAACCCCACAACATCAATGGCCACCAGCATGAGGCTACCGACGGCACTCATGCATAATATATGTCCTGACACAGGCGCAAACCACGTATTATGGAGATGAATCCAGACTGTTTTTTATACGTACCATTTGGTGGTGGTGGAGCTGCCATCTGTGCTGGGTCCTCACTAGCACCTTTAGCCACAGCAGATGAGTCCTGCATCATCCAATCAAACACAAGTTAACGCACAATACATTTGCAGCCTTTCTGGTTCCGCGTTGATGTAATGCCCATTGCCTACACTTTAGAATTCAGGTATCGGAGTGCCTCATGCACAGCTCTAGAGAAATTAACTCGTCAGCTTGAGCGCTACGATCCGAGCTTTCAAAGAAACATCACGAGGCAGCACACTCGTGCAAAATCAATAAGACCAAAAACAACACAGTGTCTGTTTACTACAAGTAGCAAGTTTTAGGAGACCGTTACCGTGTTCAGCGGTGGCCACAGTACGGCTGGTAAGGCTTTAAGCGCGCTGAAAAGCATGCTTCTAAGATAGATAGATAGATAGATATTTATTTGTACATTTAAGTACAGGTCGCATAGAAGGCGTTTCCGCCCGTACACATATGTGCCTATGTGGCCAGCTAGACGATGATGGCGATGCGAGGCTTCTTGGCTTGAGAAGTGTGGGACGATGATGATGGGATGGTGAAGAGGGTGAAAAGTGAGGTGGGTGACGTATGATGAGGTATGCAAGACATCGTGGGTGTTTAGAGGTGTTTGGCTGCTGCCTTGCAGAACTGTGTCACCTCGTCTCTGTCTGTGATGGGCAAGCTGGTGATAGCGTCAGGCAGGGACCTCCAAAGTCTCACAGCCC